GGCTCTTCGTTTTTACGGTTTCTGAGTTCGAGTTGGAATTTCATACATACTTGGGTTGAGCCCCACAAAATTTATAAATTTTGGAATCATATTTTCTATCATGTTGAATGTTTTTGAAAATAAATGTACTCGTATTAAAAAACACTAAACAAAAGTTATAGCAAATATCAAATTTATTAATAGTCATTTCAAATATTTGAGCCTATTCACATAAAAACATTCATTCAAATCAAATATATAGTATCCTCTATTCTTCTAAAATAAAAAGTTGCAACACTTTACCTTTTTTAGCAGTTTCAAATAATTGCAACATTATTTTTTTTGAAAATTATATTTGGTACAAAGACTATAACATCCTTCCTCCAAATTAATTCCTACATCCTCCCTCTTCACAATAATATTCTTCTCTCTCTCCTCATTCCTACTCCTCTCTCTCTCCTCTATCTCCCCTCTCTCGTCATCCTCCCACTCTCTCTCTCTCTCTCTCTCTATCTCTCTCTCTCTCTCTCTCTCTCTCTCTCTCTCTCTCTCCTCTCTCTCTCTCTCTCTCTCTCTCTCTCTCAACTCTCTCTCTCTCCTCTCTCTCTCTCTCTCTCCTCTCTCTCACACACACACACACACACACACACACACACACGTCCATTTGCACGCACCACAGCCCCCCCCCTCAATTTCCTCACCCACTACCTCCATCTTTCTCTTATCTTTACATTTCTCTTAGGAGTTTCCTCAACACTGATTTTAAATTATTTTCCCCAACACACATTTCATAGAATCATATGCATTTCAATAGATTTTGGGGAGAAGCATTTTCCCGCTATACGCTCACTAAAGATGAAAATGGGCTGAAATCATTAAGGCCTCTCTTCTTGCTTTCTTTCTCCAGATTGGCAAATTCCAAATGAGTAAAATGATCGTTAAAAAGTGTCATACAGTTTACATTAAATAGTTAAAACAAACGGTGTAAAATGATTACATCCCTACACTTTACATGCAAAGTGTTTACTCTACACCGTAACAAACGGACCCAATAAGTAAAATCCATGGAATGTTTGAGATTTGAGAACACTTGAATTGTAATAGATTCCATGAAAATATAAATTGAGGCTACCCAGATTTTGATGGAATTCTAAACTCCATTAAAATCCATGTTGTAGACACCCCACTTCGATTTCATTTTTTAAAATTTAGATCTAGATTTCCCCCCTTTTCCATATCTTCAATTCGAAATCTCTTTCTCCTATCTTCAATTCCAAATTAAATCCCTCTTGACCGGCGAAATTGATATAAACGGTGTCGATTTGTCTGCTCGCTCTGCTACTTTGCAGCCTTGTACTAGTGCACAAACAAATCTGGTGGTTTCAGATGCCCCTCCTCATATTCTTGCAGCAAGAGAAGTGGTCTGATCCAGAACCATGCGAAGAAGAAAACTAGATCTGGAGATAAAAAAAGATAGAGAAGAAGAAGACAGATCAGACATAGTTACCATACTTTTTTTTTATTTTCATAAGACTTACAAGATGATATTCTTCAAGATATTATGGTCATGGATGTTTTTTACTTGGACTGAATTTTGCTAGTCTGGTTTGGTATGAACTGGTCTAGTCTGGTAATGTTTGGTCCTTGTGTATTTTTATAACTATCCAAGTCTAGTCTGGTCTGCGACTGAAAACCGTCCAAGTAAAAACATCCCAAGTCAGTTTGTTGATTACCATGAAACAAGTAATTTTTTATTATTATGTTTAGTGAAACGTGATTCATGATTTCTTTGTTGGTTTGTGATTACATACTTAGGGATTCTAATATCATGATTCTAAAAAATGAAGTTGAATTCTAGAATTAGGAATTTGATTTTTTAAGAAGTTGCTGAAATTTTTACTACGTACGAAGTCTTTATTTATTTAATGAACATCAAAATTGATTATTATGTAGGAAGCTTTACCTAATTAAAAAACTAGATTTATGAAAAGTTCATACATGAATTTTGATTATTTAGAAAGTAGGAGCGGTAGTAATAAGAACATCACAAGTTTAAAATAATTACACTGCCTTTACATAGTTACACTGTCTTTTTGACATAAAATAAGGCAATCTAGCTTGACTATACAAAAATGTTGCCTGCACAAAAAAGTGAAGGCATCACAACAACAATTTTCAATATAGCTACCTTCAATGGCGTATATCCAAATCCGCAAAATCTATTGAAATGGAGCGGAAGAATATTTTTGGGGAGAAGCATTTTCCCGCTATACACCACAACAAAAAATAAGGTTTTCTTAACTACCATGGTAGAAAAATAAAGCTACCTTCAATGGCGTAAATCCAAATCCGCCTTCACTCTCAAGTGTTATTTCGCCCACACCAACATTAAAATTTATCCCACCCTAAAAAAGATAGCTTCTGGCATCTTCAATGAGATTATTTGCATTGGAATGCAAATCTGAACAGGTAGTTGCCCCAACCTATCTAAATGTCTTTTGTGTGTCTGCGTATTTTTATAGTTATTAACACCATTGATTATAGTTTATAGGGAGTAACATATTGAAGATGTAACCAAATGTAGTTTAACAGCTTAGGTTCAAAAGCATGAAATGAATCTTCAACATCACTCGCTAATTGATTGAAGACTTTGAAAAGCCTTGTATTGAATAGATTGTAAACCTCTAAAAAAATCAAGGTGGGGCACATTAAAATAAAGACTTTGAACTCGCTAGCAAGTCAATCTGATACTGAATCCAAAAGAAGTTGCAGCCTCAATGATTTTTTCCTCATTCACACTAATATGATGCCTAATAGTATCTTATTGAATCCATATATGTTTGTTTGCATTTGATGGCCACTTTTCCTTTGTTGTTGGTAGTAATGAATCTATCACTTTTACGTGATTATTTCTTTTATCACACTTTGTAATGCTTTTGTTTCCGGGATGCCAGCTATTATATTTGCTGATTGTTTTTGGTGCAAATTTGTGGTCTACTAACATCAGCCATAATCATCACTTTTCCAACGTATTGTTTTTTGTTTTGATAGCTTCTATACGGCTCTTCCTCCCAAGGAAATAAGTAAAACCTTTATATTTGTTGTGACATGTAGGACCACTTTATCGTCTATATAAATGACATTGTACATTGCCAAAAATTTAGGCATTGTATGGGCTGTACTGGGCTGGACTTGACCCATTGCATGATGTGTTGAAGGCGCTTTATCATGTGTGGATGACTTAGTTTAAACTGGATACTATTTGTATGAGCTCTAATTTCTCTTGTATATAGCAACCAATAGACCGTTGAGCGACTAATTCTAAGTGAAGCAGTTAAGATCTCATTGTTGTTCCGTATTCAAGGGGCACAACATGAAGTGTCTCGAAATAAAAAATGAAGAGACGAATAAAGATGAAGAGTCGAATAGTAAAACAATTGGATCTTTAAAAACATTACTTTATTGGTGTTTCTTAATATATATGTGCCCAACCTCATATTGCAAGAATTCTTAAAAAAACATAACCATTTTATTGGAATTAAAATTATGAAAACACATGTATTAAACGCCAAACATAAGCAACACCAGTTATAAATAGCGTTACTTTTGCTTCATTTTATTTGTGTATGATTTGCCGCAATTATTAATAAAGTGATTGAAAAAGAAGTCAAAATTTGATTGAAGCAAAAAACGTTATGTGGAGAATAAGAATGTGAATGAAAATTTTGGCAGGATAAGAGAGAGCTGATATGCATACTCCATTAGTCCATGAACCCAATCAACGCTATAACTTAAAACTACCGAGCGTCCTTGCTGCTCAAATGAGGATTCAAACCTATGTTGTAACACAATTTTGAGCACTTAACAAGCTTCTTTAACCACCGATTGAAGCAACTACGGCCTGCTTAGATCGAGTGTTGAAGGGTGTTGGCAATGCAAGCGCTTAGGGGTGTTGTTTTCTTTTTTTCTTTTTTCTTTTACTCCAGGTGGCGTCTGGGGAGGGGGCCTAGGGGCCTGGAGTAATAAGGGCTGAAACTCACTCCAATGAGTTTTGAACCTGAGACCTCCCGTAAGGTAGAGTGAGTTTGCGACCAGCTAGGCTGGACCGCTTCCTCAAGTGTTTAGGGGTGTTGGTCTTGCCACTTGTTTGAGAAAATTGTTTTAAAAAAAATGGAGTGGAAGAATATTTTTACTTGGACTATAATTCGTCCAAGACCAGACCAGATCAAACAGACTTGGATAGATATGAAAAAATATTCGGTAAATGTTTAAAAGTGTTAGGTAAATTTGCGCAAATTATATCCTACAACCGCCGCACCATGAGGATGGTGTGCCCGATCGTTTTTAATTAAAAGAGAAGGATAATCGAGTGCCGCACAATCTCTCCGCCGATCAACACAAACTTGAACAATAATCATACTCATCTTATGCTCTGTACCCAGCCATCTCTCTGCCGCCTGGATTCAATTTGATGACTCAATTCAATGAAGTTAGCGAACAATCAGAAAGGAAAACGTCAATAACTTATTGTCTGGATTTGGCTAGATTGTTGGAGTTATATAGAATTCAGATTAATATAAATTTCTCCATTCAAATTAATCTAACAGGCTTTGATCGATAGAGTTAATTGGTTTTTATATATAATGAAGTTGCATCTTTGTAAAACCCTAATTCACATTTCAACATTTTTAGAGTTACATCTTAATGTACGCGAGTTACGTCTTAATGTACGCGAGTTATATTTTAATGTACGAGAGTTACATATCTGTAAAAGAGTTTTACATTTCAATAGCCTGAAATTACATATCCCAAATTATCTAATTTGGTTCCAAATTACATTTCAATTAAAGCAGTTTACATTTCAACGATTTACACGTGAATGTGTTTAATTTACATTTTGACTAACTTGAAGTTATATGTGAAATCACACGAATTACATTTCATATAATCATGAAAACATGATGCTCACTATGCACCGGTTGCACGGTATACGGACTTGTAAATTTGTGTTTTTTTTCCAATTACTATTCAATTACTACGGATACTACCCCTCCGGTTCCTATCCCTCTTTCTCGTTCCCGCCATTTGCCAGTCACTGGCGCCTGACTCGCAGTTGATGTACACCTCCCGCTTGTGTTCAAGTTATTTTGCCAAGAATCTGCTCCTCTTCCACAGTCTTGCGTCTCCCCTTACAGCCAGTTCGATTCCATTTTCTCTTCGCGCTAAACGTATCTCTTTCGAATCCCTAATCTTGTCCTCAAACCCTAACCTCAGATCAATGTCCACTCGCCGCTCAGCGTTCGATGTCCTGATGGCCAATTCCAAAAAGAAAACCCAAACCCAGACTCTCCAAGCCAAAGAATCTTCGCCTAAGAAACGGAAAGCGGTTGAAAATGACACCCAGGAGCGGAAGTTCATGGAAAAGTCCACCCCCAGTCCAGCTCCTGGGGAGAATGCCCTTTCCAATTCAGGGGCGGTTGAAAATGCCCCTTCTGTAAATGGGGGGATAAACGGTAAGGTTGTCTCAGGTGCAGGAGAGGAAGTGGCAGCTAAGAAAGCTAAGTTTTTAAGTCCTGATGAGAGCGTACAGGAGCTGAAGAAGAAGAGTTTTGATCCGAGAAAGGCAGCTTATTGGGCAGCTGGCGCAAGAGTGCCCTTCATGTTTGTAGCCAAGGCTTTCGATGCAGTTGCAGAGGAGTCTGGGCGGATTGCCATCACCGAAATCGTGACGAATGCCTTAAGGACAGTCATTCATACGACACCAGATGACTTATTGCCTGTAGTTTACCTTTTCGCAAACAAGATTGCACCTGCACATGAGGGGTTGGAGCTCGGAATTGGAGATGCATCAATTATTAAGGCCCTTGCCGAGGCTTGTGGGGCTAAAGAAGCTCACATCAAGAAGCAGTACAAGGTAGCAAAAGTAATATTGAAGTCATTTCCTCTTATATGTCTATTCAAGCATATTGTTTGACCGAAAGGCATAAAAAGTAAGCACTCAAAGCCTCAAATATGTGATTTTGGGCTTTGGTTTTTCTGTTTGTATATTTTAGCTTCATCACGTGCCAATCGAAAAAATTGCACTTTTTGTCCTACTAGTATTATACATGTACACTGATCTCACATTACTTTCATACATTTGATTTCGACCACATTTGACACATGACTATTGTTTATTGTCCCTTTGAGGCTTTGAGCTGTGGTCCTCATGGCCAAATTTCTGGCAGCGATTTCAAGCACCGGCTATATCAGAAATTTAGCCTAGAAGTCCACAGGTGAGCAAGGAATAATAGTCATGTACCAAAAGCGGGTAAAATCAAAGACTTGGAAATACTGTGAGATCGGTGTAATACGAGCATGATCAAAAGTGGAATTTTCCTTGTAAGTTCTAAGCAACTATGCGGCTATTTGCATTTTGGATAAACTGGTTCCTTTACTCAATAGGATTTGGGTGACTTAGGCCTTGTTGCAAAAGCGAGTCGATCGTCTCAGTCTCTGATGCGTAAACCGGAAGCATTAACTGTTGCCAAAGTTTTCAATACATTTCGAGTTATAGCTAAGGTAATATATTTTAAAACACTTACATTTGGGGCTGAGGTAATTTGTGCATCTTTTCCTGTTATCTGTTTTAAAAGTGCTTCAGACTTTTTACATGAAAATACCATCTTAAGGGATATTTATGTATATGACTTCCGATTTTTGTTTACCTATAATCATCTTTTTTCATGACTGAGGTAACCCGGCAAGCACAGGACCTCCTTTTGATGTACTAGGGGTGAAGTACATGGTTTACCTTTTCAGTTCTATCACAAAGGGGCATTAATTCGTTCATGAATGATAACAGGAATCTGGCAAGGATAGTCAAGATAAGAAAAAAAATCATATCAAGTCGTTACTAGTTGCAGCTACTGATTGTGAACCTCAGTATTTAATCCGACTACTTCAGGTTAGGATACTGTGTTTTGGAGTTGCTTGTTAATTACTTCTGTGAGTGATCTTCATGTTCCCAATTGGTTTTGATATGCAGACAAAGTTACGTATTGGTTTGGCAGAACAAACTCTTTTGGTGGCCCTGAGCCATGCTGCCGTATACTCTGAGAAGCATCCTTCACCTCCTATAGAAGAGGTGCACAACTGTTGTACCATTCTCTCTAGAAGCCCCCCACACCACTTTCTCTGTGTTTTTCTTTTTGTTTTGTTATTTCTTTTTAATTATATTGGGTCCATTCCGTGAAGCTGAGCCTTCATGTTAAATATTATAGATGAAGCATGGATGTATTGTCTAGAAGTGATAATACAGCAAGATATAATAAAATAGAAGTATTAATTTGCATTTACTAATGAATAGTTGAAAACACTATTGAATCAAATATGGACCCAAAGATGTTTTCCATCCAGGCATTTGTGTGAATGGTTGCATGTATCAATCTAAATGTATGACTTATTTGATTTTATTCATCTGTTTCCAGGCTGAGAAGATTGTCAAACAAGTTTATTCTGTGATTCCAGTATATGATAAAATCGTCCCTGCTCTTCTTTTGGATGGTGTTTGGAACCTTCAAAAGACATGCTCTTTCTCTCCAGGTGTCCCAGTTGGACCTATGCTAGCTAAGCCAACTAAAGGAGTATCTGAAATCGTCGAGAAGTTTCAAGACATGGAGTTCACTTGTGAATACAAGTATGATGGTGAGCGTGCTCAGGTATTCTGTACACCTTCTCTCTTTACCCATTTTGTGTCAAGAGATTTCCCCATTAAAAGGTATATCAGTAAAAGCTGAAGGAAAAATTACTGAAATGTTTTGTTCTAGAAAACCACCCTCATAGTAAAGGAAGTAATTACAGAGTATGTGTCACCTTTAAATTTCATGCTTCTGTTTTTTCGGTAAATAAACCAGCTGTAAATACATAATAACTGTCACCTATGAAGTTCATGTTTCTGGTTTATTTTCGGTAATTCCTATCTATCTTTCTTACTCGTAAGTCGTAACCAGTACACAATGGTGCACTAAGAAGCAACATAAAAAAGGCTCCCAAGGAATCATCTTTCCATGATAATTCAGGGATTCATTAGTTCCCCCTTACATCAATGTTTTCTCCTTTATGCTTACACCAAAAGGCCTCTAGCCACAGTACATACCATGTGGACAGGGTATATGGGAGAATTTCTTCCTGCCCTTTGTTAGGTTTTGGAATCAATGGAGAAAGAAGATAGAAATTTGTGATAAAGAATTGTAGATGACTATATGATATAACTTATAGAGGATGAGGTTAGATATTGAGAAGGAATGCATATCTCTCCTATTTATCTCCATGAGGGAGAAGAAACAAATGAACCCATCATCACGACTTATCTTCTCTACATTTCTCTCTTAACCAAATTAGAGAGTTCTATGTTTCTTTCTTATTTCTCTCTCTATTACATCTCTCTGCGTTTCTTCCCCACCATGCAAAGCTAAAATTTGTTCTCATGACATTACCTACCCAAATCTCCTCTCTTATTTTGATATCAACACAATCAAGACACACACTTCCTTTGTTCCATTTGCTATGCTGTGTTAATTCCCTGTTTATGTCTGTATTAGGCCTCATCACCGAATTCAGATTTCTTTATAGTATATAGCTGCCAATCCACTTTACAACAAACAAATAAGTAAAACTAAACTGCATTTCTTTGGGTTTAAAGAGTTATTCGTTGTCAACTGAATGTGTGGGTTTAGGCCTATCCTTGAAATTTCCTTGAAAGGGCGATGTCTGAAAAAGTTGTTTACCAAAAACTGCAGATTCATTACTTGGAAAGTGGGTTAGTGGAAATATACAGCCGAAATGCGGAACGTAATACTGGAAAGTTTCCTGACGTTGTCGCTGCTATTTCAAGGTATGAACTATGACTAATATTAATCTTGTTTTCAATTTCACTGACATCCAAATTTTAAGCCTTTAGCTTTTTGTATTCTTTTGAATCTCATAGCATTATAATGATAACTACGAAAGCTTGCTATTTGCTAGTGCACTTCAATGATAAACATCAACCAAAGAGGCATGTTGTCGTAGAGTATTATTTCCATTTTGATCTTGTTTCTTAAATGCTACTGTGTTACTGAATAGGAAATGACTCAGTTTTCATATTTTTATATTTTCTAATGTTTCAAGTCATCCACATCATAATTTCCAAATGGAATGATGCCCTTTGCTTGCTCTTCATGCACCAAAAAACGTTCTTCCTTTTTTGGTGTGTTTTTAAAGCTGTGATTTTTTGCATGAATATGTAGTATTAATTGTTTATATATGATTTATGGTGCTATAGATTTAAAGTGGCCAACCCCAACTAGTTGGGATTAATTTGCATATAGTGTTATGCTTTTAAAGCTGATCTGAGTGAGTTTTAAAAGGCTTCATTTCTTGGACTCTATCCTTTTCCAGTCTTTGATTGCAGATATGCTTCTCGGATTTTTTCTGTATACTTTTGCTGTTGGATGCATTATATGTGTGTTCTCTGGTTGCAGATTGAAGAAACCCTCCACAACCTCTTTCGTTCTTGACTGCGAATTGGTTGCATATGATCGTGAGAAACAGAAGATTCTGCCCTTTCAGGTAAATATATTTTCTAGTACATCTTTCTTTCAATGTTACAACATTTATCTGGGAATGAAAACCATATTGAGTTTGGAAAATTGTTCTAGCGCTTCAGTTTTTAAATCTGGATTAATATTTAGTCATTTGGGGTTTGATAACTTTCTTGGGGAACACCTTTTTACATTATCATCATTCCAATACCCTTCCTGTATCAGTGTTCTAGTTGATTTGAAGTTGCAGTCAATTGACTTACAGTTCATTTTGTGTGCATGTTGTTCACCTAATATTTTATTTGGGTCGTTGTGTTTAACAAATTTGATTCTTTTATTGGCACTGAAGCTTGCGTCACTAACTCACTATCAGTACTGTTATACTGTTACTCCATTCTTAATAAAGCCATTGACTTCATCTTGATGTTTTGATCATCTATATTTAGTGTTTTCCTTTTATTAGTTTATACGTGCTTTGAAAACATTTAGTTTGTAACACCTTCTTGCTTTGATGCAGTGTTATGCTTATAATGCCATTTTTATGACAGATCTTAAGCACACGAGCCCGCAAAAATGTTGTTGTGAGTGATATAAAGGTGAATGTTTGCATCTTTGCATTTGACATTCTGTATCTTAATGGACAACCGCTTATCCAGGAGCAGCTTAATGTTCGTAGAGAGGTACATAAATTCTTTCTTTATTGTTACATTCATATTTAATTGATTAACTTGTTTCTTTTATGTCGTGTTTTGTTTGGAAATGAATTGTTGGTTAGGGTTAAGATACCATCATTGTCCATCTGTGTTATACAGTTCTCAGTTATAGAAAGAGTAACACTGTAATAGTTGGTGCAATAAACTGGACCCTCTCCCGTGTCTTACAATTTACATCAGAGACTAGGATAACTTTGTGTCAAAGCCTCTTTTTGTTTCTCCATTGAACCAAGAATTGATAATATTGCAATATGAATCCTCATTTTCCTCGAAATTAGGTATCGTAAAGGAACCACATTCATGTAGAGTGATTCGTAGGTGCAGGTTTGCATTCAGTTGATATTTATTGGTGTAGTTTATCACTCACTTTGCAGAAGACCATGGTCCATTATTATAATGGGATTGGGAATTGAGACAGAAAAAGATAATTTCAGCATATCATTTATTTTTGTTTTATTTGTTATCGAATGCACCATATTAACTTTTGTCAGTCTACCTAGGTTCTTATGCTATTTCCCTTTGTGCTGATTCTTTTCCAAATATGAAGAATTAATATACAAGTTTCATGAACTACAAATTTGAGTGACACCAAATGTTTGTATATATTTCTTAACATCTTTTAGCTATTGAAGTTTTGCATGGGTTGTTGGTACATGCTCAAATTTTGTAACTTGAAACTTTGATTAAAGGAACATGGAGCACATATTGGCTTGTAAAGCCACAGTTTCAATTTGGATCCCCTTCCTGGGGAGGGCGGGGAGGTGGATACTAATTACAATTGGTTGACCCACTTTCTTTGGGTGTGTGTCTAAATCCATGGGATACTAATTAAGTTCCGAAATCTCAAACTCTAATTAATTGATATGAAGCTTATCTATGAGATATGAACTTTAAGTATTCAACCATTATTCATTCTCGTACTTGATATGTTCATATATGTTAGTAAAGTTTTCCCTCTACTAATTCTTAGTCAACCTAACTCTGCATTATCTGGGAAATGTCAATAATACGCTGGCCAAAGCTTTCCTCTTCTCATTATTGATCAACCTGATTTGTTGCTTTTGTCGGGACTGATGCAGTGTAATTTATTTCATGACATTTAGTAAGCATATTCTGCATATATATATGCTTTTCTTTTGGCTCCATATCAAAGAACTTTAATGTTTCACATTTTAATATTAGTTTTACCTTTCACACCATTGTATGCATTTGATCCTTGACTTTAAGGCTTCGTGCAGCACCTGTATAATTCATTTGAGGAAGAGCCCACCTATTTTCAATTTGCCACAAATATTACATCCAATGATCTCGAGGAAATAACACAGTTTCTTGAAGCTTCTGTTAATGGCAGGTGACTCACCTTTTCCTCAGATATATGACTATCCTTCATTTTGTTTTTGTGCATGGTCATTGAACATATATGTCTACATTGCATCAGTGTTATTATTCTTCCGTATGAATTTTGTTGTCTACTGTTCTGCAGTATCCTTTCTTAGTTTAGACAACAAGAGATACTTGGAAGTTATTTTGCCATCTAATGTGATATTTATACCGTATGTTTAGCGCTGACAACATTTGCCTACCCCTATAAAAGTACAAAACATTCTTGTCTCGAGAACATCATAAAGTATATGGTGAAAAGTGAGTAAACCCAAGAGTTTAGTATTGTTAAACCAAAGTTATTGGACATGTTATGTTTAAACTTTAAAACACCAAATTGTTACATCATTACCTATTGACCTATTTTACTTGTAACCATTATGAAATGTGATGTGACAATTGTTCTGAAATACGTAGTATGTAGAAGGATTATTGGCGTCCAGTTCTTAATCTTATTTTAATAGGTTACTTCCCATAAGCATACATTTTCATGGAGTCAATGCCTTGTCTTTTTCATTGCAGTTGTGAGGGATTGATCATCAAAACACTGACCAGAGATGCTACATATGAACCATCTAAACGCTCAAATAACTGGCTGAAGTTGAAAAAAGATTACATGGAGAGGTAATACTAGAAAACTAATGCACTGTAAAGTTATAAATGTACTTCTGGTAATTGCCTTATAAACAAGTAAAATGTTTGTGATATGCAGTATTGGTGACTCCCTCGATTTGGTACCAATTGCGGCTTTTCATGGCCGGGGGAAACGTACAGGTAAATTATCTGTAGACTATCATAATATACTTTCACGAAGTAATTGTTTTCCCATCATAGCTATTATTCATAATGTTTTCTCCTATAGGTGTTTATGGTGCTTTTCTCCTTGCTTGTTATGACAGTAACAATGAAGAATTTCAAAGCATTTGTAAAATTGGTAAGCAGTTTTGTTATGTTGGAATAATAAGTAAAGGTTTGAAATTTATCTTTCCTACAAGTATTCTTAAGTTACAATTGTATTTTGATCTCCAAAATATTTTATGGTGCTTTCAGGCACGGGATTTTCTGAAACAAAGCTTGAAGAATGCTCCACCAGCCTTCGTTCTAAAGTTATCCCAAAGCCAAAGGTTGTCTTACACGTTGCATCAATAATCAAGTCCTTCCTTTTTAATTTGGGCCCATTTGGAACATAGAACATGATAGTGAAAAAAGTAGGGTGTTGATAGAACACAAGAAACAGAAGATAATAACAACACAGTTCAGCTCAATGCATATAATTATATGGATAAGAAATTAAGAACTCAATATTGATATCTGGGAATACAGTAAATATAATAAGAAGAAAATAAGGTCCAAACGAGCTCTGTTATAGAGGATCTCTCTCTCCAAGCCTATCAAATTCCCAGATATCTTTTCTCTGTCCTTCAGGTGCTCTTTATTCTCTTTCTCCACGTTCTGCCAGGTCCACCTCAGCAAGTTTGTTAATCCCAGCCTCCACTTCTTTTCTCTGTTCTTTTACCTTATTACCCCTTCTTTTATAAACCTTTGAGAAATTCCTGTTGGGATTAATAATACTGAATAAAGATCTGCTCGTATCATCACCCGCTCTTCTGAAAACTCCTTGTCCCCGAGATGGAATTCAGGAAATTGCTCTCTGAACAACTTCAAGTCTTCCCAAGAGTTTTCAAACTCCGGTAATTGCTTCCATTGGACTAGAACCTCCTGATTTCCAGTGGCTGAAATTCTGGAATCCAATACTTCCTCAGGCTGGGTTTGTCGCTCCCATTCATCCGATATACAAGCAGGGGGTGGCTGGCAAAGAGTGTTTGGGTTGACTGTCTTTTTTTAGCAGGGATATATGAAAAACTGGGTGCATAGCACAACCCTCTGGTAGTTTTAATCTATATGCCACTGGATTAATCACTTCAGTGACTTCAAATGGCCCATAAAAACGAGTTCTCGGCTTTTGATTTATCCTTTTAGCCAAACCCCGTAATTTGTAAAGTTGTATGTTCAGAAATACCTTATCACCCACCTCCAGTTGAATGTCTCTCCTGTGCTTGTTGGCCTATTGTCTCATTCTGTTCTGAGCCAAGTCCAAATTATGGTTCAATTCTTGAAGCATCTGATTTCTCTCAGCAGCGAGTCTTGAGACTTCGTCCACAGAAGTTAAGGCAGTGTCTTCCATTATCAAAGTAGGTGGTTCTTGTCCATATAGGGTTTTGAAAGGAGTATTCTTGATAGATGAGTGGTAGTTTGTATCATACCGGTATTCAGCCCATGCTAGCCACTTGGGCCACTGCTTGGGTTAGTCACATGGATCGCGGTACGTTCCGGAACGTGGAACGAAAACGGGATCGCGGATCGCGGATATCTGGAATCCGATACGTAGGGGGTAGGCTTCTTCGGTACGCTATTTCGGTACGCGGTACGGTGTGCTATTTATTACGGTACAATATACCATTAACATATACAATTTATAAAGTATAAATATATTATTAATAATATTAGACAATTAATGTAACATTCGAAATTCTAAAGTCTAATTATTCTCAATTCATAAATTGAATATATTCCAATCATAAGTTTAAATGTATATACTTCATAAACTGAAATACTATTAGTTCAAGTAGAAAGTGTACCAAAAAACGAAGTGTAAAGTGTACCAAACAAAGTTTGATAAAATTCCAAAGTACTTTTGATAAAATTCCAAAGTACTTTTGATAAAATTCCAAAGTATTACGTATAACTTAAAACAAACTTTTGGAGTAACACCCTGTTGAATAGTCGTTTGAACTGCTGAGCATATTAAATTAAATGATTAAATAAAGAAAAAAAGTAAAAGTGAAATGCTGAGTCGTCTTTTGAACTTCGAAGCAATAAACGCGTTGTTGGGAAAACAAAGCCGCCGATCTGCATCGCTTGGAAGAAGGAAGTAACGACTGTCTGTTAGACTGCCGGAGCGTCGTTCTCTTGAGGATATGTGCGAACGGCCAGCGGGATACATCGCACCGCGTAGGGGGATATGGGCGAACTACGGCCAGAAACCACCATACCGAAGTCGCGACCCAGAGGCGTACGGCGCGCTACTGTTCCGCGATCCGGAACGAGCGATCCGGAACGCAGATCGTGGCTATGCTAGCGATTTATGTAACTATGAAAAATAACACCTCAGATACACTTCACGGCACTGATTCACCCCTTCAGTCTGCCCATCTGTTTGCGGGTGATAGGCAGTACTATATTTTAAATTTGTCCCAGCTAACTTAAACAACTCAGACCAAAAATTGCTCAAGAAGATACTGTCCCTAATCCCTATCAGTGACTTGGAATGCCATGGAGTTTAACAACTTCTTTAACAACACCTCTGCAATTTCCTTGACAGTATAAGGATGTGACAGCTCTATACATATGAGCAAAAATTAGTTAATCTATCCACCAACCAATATAGAATCTTTACCCATAGCCCTTAAGAGTCCTCATATGAAGTCCATACTTATGTCCACCCAAGTCTTGTTAGGTATAGGCAGCGGTTGAAGGAGTCCCGCTGGACTGAGATTCTGGTGTTTATTTCTTCGGCAATTGTCACAACTCCTAACATATTGCCGAATGTCAGTTCTCTTACCCTCCCAAAACAACACATTTGTAATTCTTTTTTAGTGTTCTGAGAGGACCTGAATGACCCCTGCAAGCAGAATCATGGAACTCCTTCAATATGACTGCAATCTTAGGGGAACCCTTAGGAACTATCAATCTCCCCTTGTAATATAGCAGCCCTTTTCTCAGAATAAACCCCAGATTTGAGTCAGACTGAGCTACGAGATCCTGGATGGCTGGATCAACTTCTGGAATCTGGTATCCTTTAATAATCCCTCTTCCAAGTTCCAACCCTTCCCAATTCTGACACGTTACCACAGACAAGGCTGTTAGACTTCCTTTACTGGATAAAGCGTCTGCGGCCTTGTTTTCACAACCTTGTTTATATTTGATGATGATATTATGTCCCGTTAATTTAGAAATCCTTTTCTGTTGCTCCTCACCCAGCATTCTTTGTTCAGTAAGAAACTCAAGTCTCTTTTGATCGGTATGTACTTCAAAACATCTTCCCACCAAGTAGGGTCTCCACTTTTGAATCGCCCAAACTATTGCCATAAGTTCTCTTTTATACAAGGACTTGCCTTGATTTGTAGTAGATAAAACCTTGCTCATGTATGAAATGAGTCTTCCTTGTTGCATCAATACTGCCCCACTCCTGTCCCTGAAGCGTCTGTCTCAACAATAAAAGTTTTCTCAAAATCAGGGGCTGCTAGCACAGGTAAGGATGTCATGACTTGTTTTAATTTTTCAAAAGCTGCTACTGCCCCTGGACTCCAGTTAAACCCATCTTTTTTCAGCATGTTGGTTAAAGGTGTGGCAATTCTGCTATAGCTTTTGACAAATCTTCTATAGTACCCCGTTAACCCCCCAAAACCCCTCAATCCCTTTAAATTTTGTAGTGGCCAATCGACCGTATCGTGGATCTTACTGGGATCTGCAATCACCCCTTGCCCTGAAATAATGTGCCCCAAGTATGCCAATTGAGTTTGCCCAAACTTGCATTTCTTCTTTTTGACAACCAACTGATTTTCTTCCAGAGTTTGAAGGACTAAGCTGAGGTGATCTTTGTGCTCTTCTGTATTCTTACTGTAAAAAAGAATGTCATCAAAGAATACCAAAATGAATTTCCCTAATTAAGATTTTAAAACCTGGTTCATTAAGGCTTGAAAAGTGGATGGAGCGTTGGTTAGACCAAAGGGCATTACTAAGTACTCATAATGCCCTTCATGGGTCTGAAAAGATGTCTTGTGAATATCAGTCTACATCCTCATCTGATGGTAACCCGACTTGAGATCCAACTTAGAGAAAATCTGAGCATGTCCCAGATCCAACCTGTCATTGCCCATACAAATGGTTAGTTATTTGAAATCAGCTTCCACTTTTCCCAAACCTGCTAACCACTCCATTCCCAACGCTAAATCTGTTCCACCTAATTCCAAGACATAAAAATCCTGTTCAATCGATAAGCCTGAATTCTAACTAGGAGCTTTTCACATTTTCCTTGATTGTAAATGTTCTCTCCATTGCCCATTTCCTAAATTTATCTGGGAAATTTATAGGGTGTTGATAGAACACAACAAACAGAAGGTAATAACAACACACTTCAGCTCCATACGTATAATTATATGGATAAGAAATTAATTACTCAATATCGATATCTGGGATTACAGTAAATAGGATAAGAAGAAAATAAGGTCCAAACGAGATCTGTTAGAGGATCTCTCTCCAAGCCTAACAAATTCCCAGAAATCTTTTCTCTGTCCTTCAGGTGCTTTTTTATTCTCTTTCCCCACGTTCTGCCAGGTTTGTTATTCCCAACCCCCACTTCTTTTCTCTGTTCTTTTACCTTTTTACCCTTTCTTTTATAAACCTTTGAGAAATCCTTGTTGGGATTAATACTGACTAAAGGCCTGCTCGTATCAGGTGTAAAATATAAATGAAATTTGGAAGGACAAAACCACATGAGGGAAATAAAACATTTGTCACACAATAAATTTATTTTTTATATTTCTTCAAATTCTTTTTTATTTATTTCTATTATATAAAGATTAAGAAACATATGTATATGTTTTTGAAATATTGATCATAATTCATCTTCCTTTGCATTTTTCAAGGGAAAGCCAAAAATTAGAAAATAAATATCAGCATTTTTTGCTTCCCTAGCATTTTCTGGGATGCAAGCATGCCCTTAGTACTTTGGCTCTTTTGCTCATTATTTTTCCCCACATCATCTGCAGTCATATTACAGGTATGCCGAAACAATCAATCCAGATGTATGGTTTGAACCCACCGAGGTATACATACTCATGTTTATCTACTTGTTGATAAGTATTACTGATTTTCTACTAAAGGGGCAGCCCAGTGCACATTGGTGTCCCCACAATGTGTGGGTCCCACCACAAGGGTGTATAAGAGGCAAGCATTCCTTTGTCATTTTGACAAAAGGCTGCTCCCAAGACTTATCCCGTGACCTCTTGGTCACACTGATTTTCTACTGGAGCACTAATATAAATATTGCTACATCATACCAGTAAATCCATGGTTTTCACAGGCCAATTGTTTGAATGTCCTCCTCCTCCCATATTCACTCTCTAAAGACATATATTGTTCCTTTTTTCTATCACAATTTTTTTCATTTTTATGTTAGAGTAAATGACACCAGCTGCTTTGGGAATGGTTGACATTTTTTATTCTACAAATTCTATTACAATTAATTTTAGGTTTGGGAAGTAAAAGCTGCAGACCTCACTATCAGCCCTGTTCACCGTGCAGCCAATGGTATTGTGGATCCTGAAAAGGTATTAGGTGTTTTGTCTCTCTGATATACATGCCAAACAAGGTTTTTGATCAAAATATCTTAATGTAATATTGCTCCAAACGTGTACAACTATTTCTGCTCCTGACAGTTTATGCTGTCTCCTCAAGTGTTAAGGGGGAGTTTGGTGCTTTCCATTAAATTATTCTTCGCTCTTGGGTGGAATTTTATATCTATTCTCCCTCTTGAGATTCATTTTCCTCCTACCAGAAGAGAATTGTTTCATTTTACCAATTATTCTCCTCCGTCAAAAGAAAAACCAAACAACAGAAATGTTCCCCATAATTACATTCGCTAGAAAGTAGTTGCTTTTCATGGTAGCAAACATCCCCCAAGTGCCTGAATTTGTGAGTTGAGGTTTTAAATTTCAAGAATGTTGAAGTTAATGGTCCTCATGTTTCTTCTTTTGTTGCAAAGGGAATCTCTCTGCGATTTCCACGGTTGATTCGTATTCGAGATGACAAGACTCCAGAGCAGGCCACATCAGCAGAGATGGTGAAAACTATTATTACTTGAACTATATTTCAGCATAATACTGGATGTTACTTATGCTAGTGCCTTTTTGTATCAAATCTTGTTGGGTCTGAACACCCTTTCTTCGTTTTCTTTGTTGCGCCATTTTCTCAGGTTGCAGATATGTATACTGCTCAGAAACACAATCAACAAACTAATAATCAGGATGAAGATGAAAACTGAAGAACCCATTCGTCATACTCCAGTAGTAAAGCTGAAGTCCACTGTAAAGTGCAGAAGTAGCATCTTGAAACTTATTTATGTTATGGTACTACCTCTGTCCCATAATGTAAGATTATATGAGTTTGGTGCGGGTTTTAAGGAAATAAAGGATAAAGTGGTTGTTTTACAATTCCAACATCCAAAAAGTAAGAAAAAGAAAAAAATGGATCCACAAAAAGTAAAAGGTGAAATGATAGATAGAGGGTTAGGACAAAGTGGGAAAGTAAAAAGTTAGTCTATTCCAATTTAAGAAAGTGTTCATATTTTTGGGACAACCCAGAATAGAAAGTCTATCTTACTTGATGGGACGGATGAAGTATTATCTTGAAACATTATGCCAGAGCAACTCTAAATTCATCCTCATTTTTTGGATCAACCCTGCTATAGGTACCCCAATTGGTACCCCAATTTGTACCTCAACCAATTTTTGTGGCTCACAAAAGCCCACCTCAATAAATGAATTGCCCCATTTTAATGAGGTGCTTTTGTGAGCCACAAAAATAGGGTGGGGGTACAAATTGGGGGTACCAATTGGGGTACCTTAAGCATTTTTCTTTTTGGATAGACTACAGAAGGCTTCCAGTGGCTGGTTTGCCAAGGTAGTTGTATTCAATAGTAGATGGCGGGCCATAGGCACATTAAAGGGGCTTCCTGTGATGGGCTTGTACAAGGGTGTGCCATATTTCACCGCTCTTCAGATTGCTAAGGCTGCTTTTTAACTTGAAGTACTGCGTTCATTTTTCTTTAGGCTCTGTGTGTGGAGTAAATATATGCAATGTGCCGATTTAGGCATCAAGTAGGGTAATTCTATTCACAACCCCCATTTTACTAAACGTAGCCATTATATTTAAATCTGATAAATGAAATAATAAATTGTTCAATTGTACATTTGTACCCTTTTGCTCTCAACCACTCCAAATTTCACGTGTTCTTTTCCTCGCTGCCTTTCAAACTATCCAAACCTGTCTTCACCATCAAGCTTAGAATAGATTTGTTTTTACCTTGTAGGCTTGTACGTATTATCTCAAAGATATTGTATGGGAACAAAGTTAAATTGTGGTAAACTTCGTAAGATATAGCTGGAGAGTATGAGTGTACGAAATTATGATAGAGTATTGTAGCTGTCCTTCGGAAGAAGATTTTCAAAGCCACGATTGAATAATAAATACTTTGATAAAAAGGCTCTTCTTTTCGGCCATTTTATACTCTTTTCCCATAAAAACCCAGTTTTAATCGGGCAATCCAGCCTGCTTAGCTGCAATTAAGCCATGAAGAGATCTGGGAAGGAGTAGCTCACATTGACCAGAATTCCCCAGTGGAAATCAAATTTGGGAAAATCTTCATTCTGGGTTCTGTTTATAGCTTTTGTTAAGTGGGAATTCAAGAAAACACGAAAGAGGAGGATCCAAGAACCTTGTTCTCCGACTCCAGTTTCTCCAATTCCTTCCGCATCTGGGCTTTCCCGCTATCACAATCTGCGGTTGTCTATTTTCAGTTTATGAACTCTCTCCTTCACGAAATTGTTTTCACAAATCAGCTATAGCTTCTCATGCTTTTAGTGCGGCAAGCTTTTGGGTCAGTGCATGTCTCTGCATCTCAACATCGTACTTATCTTCCCCCTTCCATGCCGATCTCAGCATCGTTGAACACTTGAACACATCCCCCGTCGGTCAGAAGGATATAATTGTACATTCGACTATTTTATTTATTTTATATTTAAATATAGTGGTTGTGTTTAGTAAGATGATAGTTGTGAATAAAATTACCTCATCAAGTATAACGCATGTACATTTTTCACTGTTTAGTAATGCTTTTGGGTGATCAAGTTAGCCCACAATACATTCTACTTTGCTCTGTGTTCATGGGACAATTCTGCATTTCATCATAACCATGTCCTAAAAGCAATTGAATGAAGTCTTAAGAAACTGAAATAAAAAAATGGCAAATGTTAACAACAGTATAGAATTCATAAAAAATTCATTCAGCAACGTGATATATTCCACTTTTAACATATGGAATTATTGACTACAATGTAGATGATCATGTATATTTGGTTGATGTAGGGTGTGTTTGGCACAAGTAGTTGTAGAGATACTTGTGTGAGTTTTTTTTAGTAACTTTTAGCTTTAGTGACTGAAAAGATCTATAAAGAAAAATGTGACAATTGTTCAATAAAAACTTGACTCTTTGTTTAGTTTTGTTTGATATGTTAGGTGTTGAGACTAATTAATGTTAAAACATTATAGACTTTTCTAAAATGTTATTCAATGTAGTTTCTCAAAAAAAAAAAGATCTTTTATTTTGATAAAAACTCTTTAGAAAATAAATACTTATGCCTAGCTATCAAACATGCATATAGTCACTGTTAGTCCAAAAAGCCAAAAAATGGCTCAAGTCATTTGCCAAACATTCCTAATAAGTTATTCAACAGTTTTTTTTGGAGTAAATTTACTAAATAATAGTACAACACGTATAGTATATTGGTTTCTAAATTATGAATGTAAATATTTATATTCAAAATGAAACCCATTTATTCTTATTTTAGAAGGTTTTGTTGTTTTATTTTTCAATAAGACTAAATTTTATACGTGAGCAATTTTAACTCATTATATAATGAGATCGAGATTATACGTGTTAATCTCTTATTTTATCCGTGTTTCATTTTTTGATCTCATCTCAATTTGAACAAATATTCTTGTATTTGAATTTTGAACTCATTATATATGTAATTTCCTTCTTGATTATATGCCGCCTATCGATCACAAAATGTTCTAGTTCACAAGTATATTACACCAACTTTTTCCTAAATCAATCCTTCATGTAAATATGTAATCATCACTTGAGTTGTTTCACGGAAAATGTCGGATTTCCGATTTTTTTGCAAGCTTGCTAAAAAATTGACGGATTCACAACCTGGGCAAAATTTTGAAGTCGAAAAAACCAGTGATAGTGAAATGGTTCACACTTTAGTCAACTAATAAAAAAGATTATAAGATGAACAAGATTCATAAATTCGTCTCAAGATTCATAACAATAAAAGATTAAACGATGAACATCCCAACTTAAAAAATGGAGACGAAAATAATGATAATACGGACAACAACAAAAGTTAGACTTTTATGGTGATGGATAAAATAATACAATTAAAAAAAACAAATAAAAAATGATCAGTAAACAAATAAATTAAAAAAAAATCAGTGATCTTAACAAAAATAATATTTACTACTACGTATGATTAATGATAAATTTTACACTCAGTCAACACGCGCATGTGATGATCAATCATTTTTTGTGCATAAACTTTATTTCAGTAATATTTAGGAAAATTAAAAAAAGAAAAATTAAAATTTTCGTTTGTACTTAACGTTTTTATTCAAATTGGATTTTACATTTCACATTTTACAGTTCGTGACAATATTTCATTCAAAAGTAGCTGATCCATACTCCGTATTAAAAGAGGCAAATGAAGATTGTTAAGTTTTGTCAAACAAGACTAGTAATGGTTGTGATTCTGTGAACTGTGAACCGTTGTGTAGAATTAATACATCTACCACTATTGCTATTGTCTGATGAGTCATGAGTGATGACCAAAACCCAGCTATAGGGATCCGGGGCCTCTGCCTTGCTTTAAAGTAAGGTAGGGTGCCCGGCTTTTCCGGGCCGTTCGATCGGAGATTGGACGGTCGAAGATCTTGGGCTCCACTCCTTCCCCGATCTCGAGGCCATCCTCTTCCCCTCCTTGCCGTCGGATGCCGCAAGGCACTCTGCCTTATGGCAGAGGATCCGAATCCCAGCTATAGACCGACTGTCAGTGATGGCATCATATAATAGCAATATTGGGCCGTTGTGTTGGAATACATCCGATAATATTTTAATCTTCATATTGGAATTATCTAGAGAATTAATTGAGCGGAAGCGTACCTGACTCCATTGGAGATGATCTTTAGAGATTCGGGAGATGGAGGCTAGGGTTTGCGTATTCTAGTTGATATACACCCTTGGGAATTATCTCTCTAGCGATGGGATGCAGTCATGCAGAAAGACGGAATGACGTGTTCAACTAGAGACCATAACCCCTCTATTTATAGAGAATGCTTAACCTTAATCAGCCCATCATTAATTAGGTTAAGCCCATGGGTTTCTACACCGACTACACGATTGGGTCCTATACCTTATTAGATAACTCATTAGCCCACTTAAATTAATATCCATAGGAGCACTAATTTTTTGGGCCTAAATTAAGATAGCATATAACATATAATTAACCCAAATAAATAATATATTGTGAATATTATATGTAGTATAAGTCCAATAATCTAACACGTTGAAGATGCCAGAGAGACAGAAAGTGTAGTGCCATTGAGGTAGCCAGGCATTCTGCTCGACAAATCTCGACAACATAATTTTTACTTTAGTATTGTACGTTAACGATTTGAGTCATTTGACAAGAAACACTTTGTGTTAAAACATATATTTTCTTTTTTTACTTTTCGGCGGAAGTTAGTATATAGTTAGGTTGGGAGAAGAAACACTTTGTGTTAAAACATAATTTTTTTTTTTACTTTTTGGCGGAAGTTAGTATATACGGAGTTCGGAGAATATAGGTTGGGAGAAGATTCTCTTATCTCTTGCGGAAGAAGGTTGATACCGTAAAAGAGGGTAATATAGTAAAGTTGTGGTCCTGTGGACGGCCATGAGCAAAAAGCTAATGCAAAAAACCACTTAACCAAACACTCTAATTAGGTGATTAATTGAGTCAAAAGGTTAAATACAGTCAAATCAACCAAAAAATGGCAGACTCCTAACAAAACACCCCTTTATATTAATGGAAAAAATGGTAAGTAGAACAAAAGTAAGGAACCCATCTTTTGATCGCTCTAAAACGAGTTGATCAAAGTACGGAAAGCAGCTGGGTAAAAACTAGACAGCCAGTGATAATGACGGGCAAGCTAAGGTATATGCACTTTTTGACTTCCTGCTAAGCTTTGTAAACCTTCAGCTTTCAAAATGTATTATTTAATATAATTAGGTAAGCTAGATAAGAATAATCATCAGATAATGACGTACTTAGTAGTTACTAATTAACATCCCCATTGTGATTACAATAATTAAATAAATACGGAGTTTCTCCTGATACATGATTACTTATAGCTGATACTTTGGTTTATCCAAGACTTTTAGCATGGATGAATTCATATTAATGATCACTACACACTTGATCGGTTAAGATATAACAATAAAATATGGATCTAATAGATTAAGATATAACATTAAAATATGTATTCCGTATTTTTTACTCGGTTTCTTAATTGAGTTGAACTTGGGGTACACACTTTTTGGTGTACATAATTTTACACATGTCTATGTAGGCTTTTTTTTGTCTGTACAGACAAAAAAGCCTACAAAGATATGTGTAAAAGTGTGTACACAAAAAAAGTGTGTACTTTAAAATTTTTCTTCTAAATGTCGGGACTCGGGAGGGAGAGAGCAACGTTGAAATGAGGAGCTAGCCTACGTATTAGCTGCACTTTTTTGCATTGACTAATATGTTAAATTTCAATAACAAAAATGTTTAAAATGTTGAAAACATTAGAGTACGTTAAATATCAAATATGTATGAAACCCCAGATCTTAACAGAAATAATAAATCCTTCAACACGCCCCCAAGACTAACAAAGAATCAAAGATTAATCATTTTTTGGCCGGGTGGATAAATGTGCCAATAAACTCTAAACGGGGTATCCAGTATCCTAACCTAAAATACTGTTTACTAGCGTATCCAAACCGTTTTTCGGGCCCAATAATCGGCAGATCGGGGGGGGGGGGGGGGGGGGGGGGGGGGGGGGAGTACAAAGAAATATAGTAGTCAGCAAATGTGTTTGTTGCCCTTCTCCTAGACCGAAAGATCTCTGCCCTTGTCCATGTCAGGGTCTCAGGGAGGTGCCTCATTAAAAACCTTTATTAAGGGAAATCCAATGGAGTAACTTCCCCCACCACCCCCGAAGTTAGAGTGTGATGCACTAGGAAGAGCAAACAGCACGCAAGAAATCGTACGCAATCACGAAATCAAGAGTGTGCGATATTAACATTTATATTCACTACAAGAATCTTGACATAATGTGACAATTTTTTTCGTCATATAAAATTCAGTTTTTGTCACTAAAACTTTTATGTGACGAATTTTGAGCGTCACAGTGATCGTCACCGCAGCTCCGTGGTATTAGGTCTAGGTGACAAATTTTTGATTTTGTCACCAAATAAATATCATTTAATGACGTTTTAGCACTTCGTCACCATTACTAATCACTTTTTGTGACGCCAATTTTGTCACGCTTATATCGATTTTTTTTTTGTTATCTAAATATGCATTTTGTCATCAATAATTCACACAATAAATGACAAAATCTTAAATTGTCAACAAAGCATAGCATATAGTGACAATCCTTGATCGAATTTTGAGTTTTTGACTTGTGACGATAAAAAAGAATTGTCATCATTAAATTACTTATATTTTGTCATATTTATGCACATTCGTCATTAATTAGAATTACTTTACTTTAATTACAACTTTTATGCACATTCGTCATTAAATATATTTGTCACCATTCAAATATGTAAGGTGATCGATGAGTCATTTTTAATGACAATGTTGATTTGACAATAAGAAAGGATACACTGGAAATCTAAATATTAACAAATATATTCAATGCTAGAAAATGGTACTTTATGCCAAAACTAAACTCAAATTAAAACTTAACATTCCTATGCGTACATATTACAAAATGACTAGCTAAATAACTTACAACATTAAGCTAAATGTAGATATTACAAATGCTTTCATTTAGTACTCATAAATGCTACTAGTATGACATTCTCCACTT